CCATTTAGCAGGTCAAAGATATAGAGTATTTATACAAAATAAAATAATAGTAAATAAAATATGATAAATAAGATAAAAATAATAAATATAACTAATCTATCTAAACTAACAAATATAATATATATAGCAAATATAATAAATTTGATAGATCGGTCAAATATGACCAATAGGTCATATTTGTCAGATTTGTCCAATTTGTCATATCGGTTAGATCGGCTAACCAATTCAAATCACATGATTGGCTATAGTTGATTGGCGTAGCATGGATCACGCCTTCACCGTAAGATGATGATAACGGGAAATAGATGATAAGTCAAGACCGTCAAAAGTCCAAGAATCTTTTTTTGCATTACAGGTTCGATAACCTCTTATAGCACTGTGCCTTTTGACCCTGGCCAAGTCGTTCCCTTGGGGTAAGTCAGCAGTAGTATCACCAAAACTTGCAATTACGAGGCACATTTTTCCTTAGACATCCATTATCATTCCTTTTTCAAATTCATTTATTTCGTCAACAAAAGGTTTAATGAACTCATCAAAACAACCGCCAAATGGGACGAATCCAAGAACAAAGTGGTTTCTAAGCTGCTTTCTTTTATTAAATGGTAAATTTCCAACCTAAACATAAACGCCTTCTAATGAATGGTAGATATTGCGGTATGTACTGAAATCGTCATAATAAAGGTCGATATATAGCTTATAAATCAGAAGACCTGTAATTAGTACTTCTAAAGCAGCAAACTCTGAAGGATGTTGATAAGAATATATAATGTTTCTTAACTTCCAACGCCCTTGATGTCTATAAAGGATTTCATGAATAAAAATCAAAGATTTATTAATATTAAAATAATCTTCATTATAAAGTATAACAATCATTACAGCTTTAACAATTCTTTGCAATTTGACAGATAATATTGCATTCTCCATTTCTCAGTCTAATAACCATAATTCGTTTTGTGATCTTCTTTTTCGATTATTACTCTGCAAGTTATTTGGCAGCTTCTCGAATATTAAAATACGTTGAATCATTATTTTGAGTTTACTACCTATATCCACTATTGCTAAAATTCGTCCAAATTTATTTATTTTTATTGATTCTTTATATACCATGAAATCTCCATAACTGTAAATTTCTAATTAATAAACAATCATATTTCAGTACTGGTAGAACCTAATTTAACAAGTAAAAGTAACATTTACTTTCATTAATTTGAATAGAAGAATATCCAAATTGTGGTGATTCTTTCTATAAATTTCCATGCCATAATTCTAGATTTCTTTCGACTGTTTGACCTGGACCAAAATACATTTGGCCGAACAGTAAAGGATTATTAAGAGAATACCAAATGATATCGGTAATGGATAAATAATACATATCCTTGGTTTCTTGGGAAGTTGATGGGGTTTTTTTATTCGAAATATGAATTTTGCGTGATTTGATGAAGAGTAGAGGTAATCTTTGTCGGTAATTCCTAAATCGGCGAATGTTTGTTACAATATCCTCACCTTTGAATTGGGGATGACGAATTATATTAACCAGATCTTCATATGCTTGGGTGGCTATTAAGAGTTTAAATTAGTATAACAAAGTAAATTCGAAATAATTAAAAAGGTCATAGAAAACTTACATATGTTATGCTTTTGGATCCAGCAAAACATTAAAACTTCGGTAATGTTTTTAAAATATGGTGCAAACTCTCCATTAATAAGTGACATTTGCTTATTATTTAAGGCACTATTAACGATTTTATCAGATTCTTCTGCATTCGATGCTTCATTGCTAACATTTTCTTCATCATTAGTTTCTTCTCGGTTGAAGATTTCATATTCATTGAATATCTCATCATCAGTTTTTTCTTTAAACATCTCATCATCAGTTTCTTCTTCGAACACTTCACATCAGTTCCTTTTACGTTTAAAGATCTATTACCAGTTTCTTCTTCAATAAACACCTTATCATCATCATCTATATTTGATGCTTCATCAACAGATTCTTTATTAAGAAGCTTATTGGTTTCTTTTTTGTTTGACACTTTATCACTGGTTTCTTTGTTTAGAACTTCATCAATATATAATTCTTCATGATTTGGAGCTTCATAATTGCTTTGTATTTCATAGTTTTTATCTGATACTTCATTATCTCTATTATCATTTTCGTTATCTTTACTATCACTTTCATTATCTTTTTCGTTATCTTTATTATCACGTTCTATTTTAGTGCAGTTATCTGTTATTATTAAAGACATTATTTATAAAATGACCAAAATACTGCATCATTTCTTTTATTAAAAAAATATTTACTGTTTATTTTAGTGTTTAAAGACGCGTTAAATGTATTATATTGGTTTCTAATATAATTTTCACGGTATTTTAAAGAGGCATAGCGGTTGTGAAACATTTGTGACATAAAAAAATATTTGTTAAGCGAAAAATGAGAAAATATTTTCATTTATTTATAAATTTTTTGAATTGATAAAATTTTCAGTAATTAAATTCCTTTCTTATTTATTTTACAAAAAAAAAAAATTCTTAATTACTTTTTTCACACAAACAATTTTGTATGATATAATATTGTATTAAATTTCACACATGAACAATCTTTACGTAATTTTTATTTCACTTTACGTAATGAATATTGTATTTATTGCTAACTTAGGATAAATAATTGTAATAATCATCATACG